GCTGATCTATGAGGACACACGCAAGACGTAGATGCCTGGGCTGTAACAACTGCGGCTACCACGATGCTAATCGAAGTCTGAAGATATCTCCTTCTTCGTTATCAGCCTGGCTGATGTCGATCGCTTGTCGCGTGATCAAAGCGCCTCGGCAGCCCGCAACCAGCTGGCACCGGCTGATTAAAAGTTGGATTTTGCATTCAATGCCAGCCTCAAGCTAGGTGAGGAGTACGAGAAAAGTCCCGGTAAAGATGCTTTGCTGAACAAACTGCTAGAAGAATGATAATTTTGACTGATCTCAACTAAAGGTCATTCGTTACCCTAGATATGAGAGCTATCAGCCCTTAGACGTATCCAACTAATATCTTCTCTCTTGACGTATCTGTCGCTTCCGAACTACCGACGACGGGAATTTCTCGTTTCACGAGATTACGCACGTCAGTGCCCAATATCATGCGTCGTCTATTGGCTTGAAGATTGTTAGCGCGACGCATTTCTGATACGTCCAAAGCAGGAAATATCGCATCTGGACCTCTCGCGGTATCAGATCTGTCTTTGCTGTCAAAAATATCAACGCTTTACAGGAGCGATCAGCTCTGTAGATATTTTAAATGTTTCGTGACGTCTGGTTGAACCTTCAGGGGTTTAACATCAGCACCTGGCGAAGCCGTCCAGGCGAACGATTTTTGATTTTGACGATGTGCCGCAAAATGCGCTACCACTCCAGAGTATAAAACAACGAATATAAAGTCAGTGTGTGCGATATGATTCTAGTGTCGCAGATGATACAACCTTGTTCAGACCTGGACGTCAGAATGACTACATTTGCTGTCAGGTAGTTCCGCGGGAAGTTATGGTTATGATTCTCAGAGTCTGAATCAATTAATGCTCAAAAATGGAGTCTCTGAGTTGTCAAACCGAGAGCCTTTATTACCTTGTCATTTCTGTAGAGGTACGAGCCAATCATACGTGTAGTCCACCTTGAGCGAGATCTGTTTTGCATTCACTGATGTCGCTTGCACCCCAAAGAATTGTTTGCGGGCTGAGCCTACTTTCAGACATTTGTAAACACTATCCGCTTAATTTGTTGCGACGAAAAGCTCTCTACTTGAGATTCCTTTAGCACATATATCACGCGAATGTAACCAACCATTCAACTAACTCTCCCTACTTACAGGCCAGATAGTGCGAGCACTAGTGAAAGTCATAATCCACAGGTTGGAACGCGGCACGCAAATCTTGACAACGTTGCGGCCAGAAAAAAAAACATCTAGGCGACATCGCTTCACGCGTGTACGCCTTACCTTTTGTTCTTTCGCTCAAATAGGGCAGGAAAGTGAGCGTATGTTGCTTATCCCTAGTCTAATGTTCCCTGATGGCCAAATACGACTCTTTGTTTGAGTAACGGTGCTCTGAGTTCGAAAATACTGGCCCTCAGAGTCTCGAACATGGCGTTTCATTTTCTGTAGTTTGCAAATACCATGGAATCGTTTGGCTTGCTCAAACGGCATTTGACGCCGCCATGTATTCAAAAGGCTCAGCTTTGGAGATGCTAACCATCTTAAGGACAGAATTATCACTAAAGTTGTCCAGCTGATAATCGACCCAATAGCTTGATGGAAAAAGCCCAGCCCTGTGTGGAGTAATTCGATTGTAAGGCAGTAAGAAATTGTTTAAACTTGCTTAAAGATTTAAAGGTTTGCACTGAACGCAGCTGCGCATATTCCACGCATACCTAACAACTTATGCTTTGATTGCTTGAATTTGTTCTGTCGTCATCGCCTGTTCTTCTTCGAATTTCAAGCTCTACCAAGAAAGCAGGCACCGCTTGACTCGACAGGCATTCAATGGTGTAGCTGCTGATTTGCTAATTCTGTCACAGTTTCTGGTATATCATTTTCCAATGATCGACGAAGAGTCTTTGACAGTTCACCAAGAAAAACTTGATTCTTGCAACCCTCTAGTGACCTTATAAAGTTGTACCACATGACTTGATCGCTTGATTTTGTAGATAAAAATTCGAGGGCTTTCGTAGAGGCATCCTCTTTGTTCTTCGAAGTATTATACAATTTGGCAATGTCCTTACCCGTCAAATAGTCATAACCACCCTTGAGCATTAAAAAGTCTTTTAACTTATCATCTCCATCAAACGGCTTTCCAATCCATGAGTGGAAAAGAGCGTTTAACACACCGTCTAGACCAGCATCTTTCGTTTTCTTTAGATCCATATTCAAACGGTAACTTAATTTGAGATCGTCAGGAAACACTGTTCGCAGTTTCTCTAGCAGAAATACACTGGGGTTGTCACTCGAAAATCTCGCGTAAGCTATCATGTTCTTAAAGTCTCTGCCTCGCAAAAAACCTTCATTTACTTCAATCCCTATATGTGACGATTCCATCCATTTATCAAGCAGCTGTTTTAGCCAGCGGGAAAACACCAATTCAGCCGTATATCTTCGCTTTTGAGCATCAAATACAAGACTTTGGCCGTCCATAATTCTGTATTACGCGATTCCTCTACCTGAACTCCCCACTCGAAGTCAGTCATCTCCAATTCGTTATTTAATGACTGCTCTTGAGCACTTGTCAAACTTCTGACAAGATAACTGGGTGTGAATTCTTCCGAGTGAAGGAAATCTCCAGCTGGTTGAAGAAGAGTGTCGAACATCATATTGACTTTTGCGCTTACGTTGTGGTCTTGCCGCAGCTTGTATAGAAATTTGGCCCACATAAAATCATTCGTCGACCACTTTTGCAGTTTTTTCAATAAACGAGAGATGTCTAGATAAGTGAGGTCCGTAGGGTTGTTTCTCTGGATTAGATCATAAGCCTCGATGAGAATGCGGGGTTTTCCAGCAGTTGCAATCGAATTGTATGACTTTGAAACCCATGAATGGAATAAAGCATCCAGCACACCGAGTGCAATATTCGACACACTTTTATCACTACGTAGCTTATTAAGAATGGAAGCCAATGTTACTTCATCTGTCCATACTTCTTCCAGTTTTTTTAGCATAAACACGTCGGGATTACCGCTCGTGAACTGCGCGTACTGAAATAAGTGGGTAAAAGCTTCGTCAGAGATCATACCGACGCCAACAGTATTCAATTCGTCTTGTCCATTGATGATTCGCATCTTTTTCGTCCATGAATCAAGAAGATATTTCAATAGACCAGAGTAAAACGAGGACATCTTTCCGTCATTACGCAAAATGTGTAATACTTTGGCGAGCATCACATGATCGTTAATCGTGCCTTGTAGCGATTTAACATACTCCTTATAAAACGGTTTTTCAATATCAGGAGAGAGTTTGTATTGCCCAGATTCAAATGCCGTAAAGTACCAGTTATACATTTCGGAGCTTGTCAGGTATCTGACCGAGGCGCTAGGTGTATACTGGCCCACTTTATTCTCATATGCTTCATGTGGCCGGAGTAGACTGTCAAATACAAGAGGAATACCATCGAATTTGCGTTGGTCGGGTTGCAACATGTAAATAAGTTTTGCCCACATGAGTTCATCTGGGGACTGCTCTAGTAATTTGTCTCGTATCTTCATGCCAACATCACCATCCATTTCCACGTCTTGATAAAGTTTCTCAAACTCACTACTCTTTAGAAACGTGACAGCCTCACTGGGAGTAAACTTGCTCTCATATGTCCGGAGAAGATCGTCAAACACACCCCAGAAAGGAGTCGTTCCGACAGACGGGTTCTTCTGCAACAAGTAAATACTTTTAGCCCACATGATTTCATCGGTTGACTGTTCTCGCAATATGGACATCATTAACTTTACAAAATCCTCTTCTCCTAAACGTTCGAATTTTTCCCAAATCGTGACACCCACACTTAACATAAACTTTTGATCGTTTTTGAGTTCGACAGGAATGTTTAAAGTCTCGTACTTACTCTTAGTCGGCAAGGTCATCAACCATCTCCTTTCCATAGCGGTAGCTAAATAATACGCAAGGCCACCCTTCATCTTTCCTCGCGTAAAAACAGCTTGTATATCGTCATAGTTAAGATTCTTTCCAACAATCTATACACCATAAGGTTGATGGCAAGTTTCTGATCCTTTGGAGATTTTGTACCCAACCAAATCAACACGGGATAATCAAAAAGCAACTCCACATTGTTTTCAGCCTTTGTAATTAACGAGTCAACCATATCCTGATCATTTCTCATGTTATCCTTCTCCATTCCAGAAACACGACATTTCATTTCATGCAACTTATCAATAATTTTCTTGGATATCATACTTCCTGCAAATGGCTATAGCTCATGTTCAGCTGCTTCGGCCGCCGCTAAAGGAGGTAAAAATCGCTCCTCGACCAATTTGTGGTCATCATCCACTTTTGACGGGGTAAGTTTTCTCATATGTTGATTAGGTACAACAGCTACAGAATTCGATACAGCAGCCTCTGCTCTGGCACTCTCAGCATTCGGTACAACAGCCTCTGCTCTGACACTCTCAGCATTCGATACAGCAGCCTCTGCGCTGGCACTCTCAGCATTCGTGACAAGAGCAAGTGCCCATATCAAGGGCAGAATGCGGCGTGGTGGAGGGCTCACAATCATGACTTTTGGGGAACTTTAGTAATTATAAACTAATGTACTTGAGAGATAGAGATAGAGATTGTGAGGAGATGGATAGATAGGCAAGAACCACAAATTACCATCATGCACATCACGTCTTCTAGATGACGAATTACAGTAATCGGAAAATTAATAGAAAAAGAGTAGAATAAATTTATTTGTTAACAACAAATCCACTTTACGTAAAAAACATAAGTTTTGAACATTTACTAAAAGATTGAGCCTCGACATCTGCGTGGTGAGTTGACTCACTATACGAACAGAATAATTGAAGCTACACCACGATACTGTTCCTTCGATACAGTCTGACGCGAAGAGCTCTAATGCGGACAAAGCGACGTCTTGACCATCTCTGTAGCTGAACCATCAATTTTTTTAAAGAGCGAATTCTGAACCTCTGAGGGTGTGTAACGGGGTTACACGAATCCTGATAACAGGGGTGGGTGTGTCGGTGTGTCACACGAGATGTGCATGGTGTGACCCCATCCAAACAAGAACCCTAGAATACGGTACGGGGCTAGGTAGCCAGTCGTTATACATGTATTTAGATTTTACTATATATATTTAGGAAATCTATCTTTGAATTTTAGACGGTTTAGCCGCAAATAAAGTTAAATAAAAATCAGTTTTGGATTTCAAACCGAAGAGCCTTGGGAAGGGAATAATTATCTTGGAGTGAGCGGATTGCGATCCGCTAACTCATACTTGGTTCTTGTAAAGAACGAAAGGTCGGTGATCTAAAGTGCGCTTCCTCAAGCGCTAAGCTACAACAGCCCCGCTGCAATCTCTGTAGCTGAGCCACCAAATTTTCAAAAGAGCGTAGTGATTCTGAACCTCTCAGGGTGCCTAAATAAGCCAGACACCGCAATAACCTAGCTGATCTGGCGTATCCTGGATCTAGCTTCTCTTAGCCTCGAGACTTCAGGAAAGATTCGGCGCGCAACCACTATCGAGAAAGCTCACGAGAGTCAGCCGCGGGAGTTTCATCACTTTTAGAAAGCGATGACCATTTTTATGTCAGACGTTTGGTGAGAAAGCGATACCAACATTCACTTCAAACGTTTGATTAGCCGGTAGGAAAAACCAGGGCTGTTACCAATACATTGTTGAGGGGAGGCTTCTTCTCAGCTTGCGAAATCGTGGAGATTGATGTTTTATTTCGGTCAAATAGCCCTGGAGGCGTAACAGCTCACAATCTGACGCATCCTCGGCTTTCATATCCCTTTGAGAATAGGTAGGGTTGCACGATGTAGTGTTTTTTTCGCTTCTGGGGGCGACCGAACTTGCGTTGAATAAGGTACTTGGTTGGTAGCTGTTACAGCTGTCTCATGGAGGTGTGCGGGGCTGTTTACAGCAAAAAATTGAGGTGATGGTTGTGATTCTGACATCCGTGTCTTGCTTTAAGCCTTGCGTGTTCAAGTATAGACGACGCTCTAAGTAGGTGTCATCGTCGCAAAGGCCGACTTTCGAAACCTCCAGACTGCGTGTTTTCTCACCTAGTGCGCGAAATGATTAATTTATTTAGGTGCATTTCCTTGAGCTTCTATCTCCTAAAGTATATCATCCCTTCTTAGTATACAATTTTTATCAACCGCTGCTGCTGAAAGCGCAAACAGTAATATTAGAATTGATGACCTGTGGCTTGAGGAAGCGCATACGAAGCGATTTTTGGACGGCTTGAAATCATAATACGACATGATTTGGGCAAGGGTTGCTGTGATACGAATTGCTGTAAAGCAAGCTGTGCTTCTACAGCCTGATCCAGTTCGTTGATAACACATGAACATCGTCGTTCTGGGTTCCACGACGTGGTGTCAGAACACTTTTTGTTGCAGGCTACGAACACGGAGACCGAGACTTGTGCGACATGGAGGCTGAGTGCGATAAGCGTCTTTTCCTTGGGGCGCCTATTTTAGCGGGGAATCTTGTGCTGTAAACCCTTACACATTTGCTACTTTTTTCAATTTTAATTTATAAAAATCTACATTACGCTTGCTGTATGTGAATATTGATACAGTGCTGGCCAAAAATATGTAGTCATGACTATTTCTCATATTTTTACGTCAATTTTCATCGAAATACCCTAAAACCGTGTAGAAACGCTATTGAGACAAAGCACTTTAGGAGCATATCTTTTTTTTTCACAGACGATTTTTCGTTGCGGAGATCAAGAAGTGACCATCACTCTGACCCAGGACAAAAGTACGTAGCAGCGTGAACTTTGTGACATTGTGGGTCTTCTAGAAGGTTCT